AACATTTCTTTGTGCAATTCTTTCTGCAATTCTATTAAATACCTCAGTTGTTTTCCTATATCTTTTCTGTTTTGTTTAGATTAGCCAAAGTCTGTCTACATATGCTCTAGTTACACCACTTCTCAAGATTTGCTTGTGCAATTATTTCTTCCACTCCATAAAATAAGCTTTCCATCATTGTCTACTCTTTGTTTAATCTAGCTGGAATAAATTTTTGTAATTAAAAAAAAGATTTATGCCAATGACAAGGTTCCAGATGTAAGTCATAACATACTAGAGACATCATGAACTAATCAAGAGTTCTGGATATAAAAAGAAGAGGGTCATGTGGTTTAGCATAGGAAAAGACTAAGAGAATTTCTGTTTTATTTCTGAAAGTCCTATTTTGAAACACACTACACACATATACAAACACACAGCACTCATGCGGGCACAGTTCACACTCCTCTGATTCTTTCTAGTACAACCTTTCTTCCAGGGCTTCCAGGGCTAGTAATCCTTCTTGCTCTCTTGCTGTCCTCAGAATATACTCAGCACTCCTCCTTGAAAGATGGGGCCACTTACAGATCCTTCCTTAACTGAAATTACGTCTAAATTACTCTCTACTCACAAAATTTTCTTTAACATTCCATAGAGTAGATTCTCTATAGATCTCACTTGTTCGAAAAGCGAAACACAAAGACTAAGCAGAGGCACCAAAATCTTTTCTCTCAGAGAGAGCCCACACTCATCTGCATTCCTTCACAACACAAGCATTCCCTTCCCGTCTCCATACTCCCTAAAATTACTCTCTCCAAAGTCACCTCTTGGTTCATAATCCATAAGATTTTAATGTATGTTTCTCTTTCTCTACGCTAATTTACTTACTGGAGTTTATCTTAATTTTGGTTTCTGTTTGCTCCACGGGCCTGGGCTTACTTGTAAGGAGCCCTCTCTTTTTGTGCTGACACTTTTTTTGTCACTGTTCATTTCATCTAAGAGGACTAGTAATGAAGACGTCGTCTATGCACACTGGGACAACGAGAATGATTGTGGAGGTTGGACACAGAATAGGGCATGGAGGTTGGAGCTCTAAAATTATCTCAGAGGCAGGCTTCTGGTCGAGAAGGCATAGTAGATAACCCTTGTACTCTCATCATCCCACAACCACATCAAAATTATGATGAGACTATGCAACAATGATCGTTCTGAGCTGCCTGAAATCTAGCTGAATGGAAATACTATAACTTAAGGCACACAGAAGCTATGTTGAGACTGACAGTCCTATCAAATGAGAAGTCAATTTATGAGGATTTGTTTCCTACTCAAAATGGTTAATTTAAGGATTCATGAAGTACTCTCTTCCTCCCATGTGGAGAAAATTGTATCTAGAGCCTCTGCCCTCATAGGAGTCAAATGGGACTGGAGATACAATTCTGCTAACAACCAAGTGCTTGTTTATTGATTGCTTACTGGACCAAAAATAAGAGCTATAAAAGCCAGTTTTGTGACAATTGGGAAATTTTGAGGATGGATTATATATACTAGATGATATTATGGCAGTACTTTTTAATATTCTTGGGTAAAACAATCACATTGTGATTTTCTCTTTGGAGATGAATGATGAAGTATCAAGGGTGAAGTGTCAGTTCCATCTACTTTTCTTTTAAAATAGTTCAGCCCCCCCAAAAAGTCTGAAGTTAAAACAAATGTAATAAAATGAGATAATGTGGGACTCTAGGTCAAGAATAAATAGCTATTACTTCCTCCACTTCCTCAAGTAAACAAAAATAAAATTATCTCAAGTGCCAGGGTGGAGCAGTCTGACCTTCGCCAGAGTGGTAGGGCTAGGACACGCCGGCAGCTGGAAATTCTGCAGGGAGATTAATAGAGGAATCAATGGAAGTAACACTGTGACCTTTGCTTCTCTAAACTGGTTCAAGCAGTAGTTGTTGTTGTTGTTTTGTTTCAATAGCCACATTATATCTATCAATGGACACATTTTATCCCTGATTTTGTCATCTTTGCAGAATTTGACACTTTTCAGCATTATTTTCTGGCCAATCATTTCTTAAAAGTTTTCTTCCCCTAACTTTTGTGCCTGTCCCCCTTTCTGGTTTGGTTTGATTTGTTTTTGACTGTTGCACTAGCCCCTTTAACGTTGTCCACTGCACTTCTGTGTCATGTGTGGTTGGAATAACTATATCTACCCTCAAGATTAAATCACATACTGTATATCTTAGTTCTAGAGAGTTTCCTGACATTTCATTTTTCAGTACTTATCCACAATGGAGCTCAGTATTTTCTGTTCCTTTCTCACAAAGATGCTCTTATTTTTGGTGCTAAATTATGGCACTATTACACAGTACCCCAGGCCAGAAACATAAAATCCTCTTTCTGCTTTACCATCAACAGGAGATTACTAAATTTACTAGGTACTATTTTTAGAACTAGTGGTTCTCAAAGTGGGGTTCTCAGATCACCACCAGCCGCAGTAATGGGAGCTTGTTAGAAATTCAAATTCTCAGACCTAATAAATAAGAAACTCTGGGGATGGAGACAGCAGTATGTGTTAATATGTCTTCTAGGGAATTTTTGATGCACACTAAAGTCTGAGGACCCATAATCTAAACTAGTAGTTGTTAATCCTAGGAACTCATGGTTGGGCTTCAGGAAAACCAAAAAGCACATGACAGTGTATCTAAAATTGAATGTATATCCATATACTTCTCTGAGTGGATAGCTTTTATTCCTTTTCTTTTCAATTGGGGTTAATCAATTCCATATTTAGGACTACTTTCCATTACTACCACCACTTAATCTGTGTCTCTGGTTTGCATCCTTTTCAATGTATCTCCATGTTGCAGACACAATGGTCATTTTAAAACATGAATCTGATCACGGTCACTCTACTGCTCAAAGGTCTTCCATAGTTCCCGACAGCTTATGATAAAATGGCTTCTTATGATAAAATGACCTCTTAGTATGACAACACCTTTCATGAAGGCTTATTCTTTTGTATCCATCTCCAGTCATTCTCAGCTTTTGTTCTAGCAATAATAAACCTGAATGTTCTGGACCTCCCTTAGGCTCTCATACATCTCTGCCTTTGTATACTCTGCATGCTGTTTCTGGAAAGCCCTTCACTACTCCTCCCTCCCTCCTTGCCTAATTTCTGTTTATTCAAGTTTCAGTGCAACATGTCTACTGGGAAGTCTTTTTCACTAGGACTAAGTTTAAGTGGCCCTTCTACACAGATTATTATCCCTCTGGCAATAGTTCTCAAACATTTTGGTCTTAGGACCTGTTTACGCTCTTAAACATTATTGAAGGCCCTAAGAGATTTATGGTCTATTGACCTATATTTACAATATTAATTTAATATTTTAAAACTCATTAAAATAATTATAACCCCCTGGGTTAGTAATTAATGTTGTATTTTCATGATAAAATAGTATTTTCCCAAAAAAAATGAGAAGTGTTGTTTTACATTTTTCAAATCTCTTTAATGTCTGATGTAATAAAAGACAGCTGGGTTTTTATATCTGTATAAATTTAATCTGTTGTGATGTGCTTTGGTTGAAACGTGTAAATAATATCTGGTTTAAGACAGATGTCAAACTGGATATATGGTAGTTGTAGACTGCAGTTGCAGTGTGGACTGAATCTGAAATTGTATCAATGAACTTTTTGTATTGTTATATTAAAATCCAAGGTCTTACACTTTTATCACTTTTTTTATTTTGTAAGAGCATGCATTAGTTATTTTGAAAATAGCTGTTCATTGAATTGCAGAGACTGTCCCAATATCCACATATTTCCTTATAATGTCAAAAGAATATTTGTTAACATCAGTGGTCTTTATAGTAGAAAAGTCTTTAAGTACTGGAAAACTCTTGAGCTCAACGTGGAGGATATAGGCTTTACAAATTTTGGATTTTTTGTGTGAAAACTGAAACCGAACAAATGCTTTGCTGGTGACAACCATTTTACTTGGGCACGTAGCAGAAGAACTTACCATTTCTTTATACATTAAAATGACATGTATGCTAGTGAAGACAAGTAAAATTAATGATTTTGACGCCTTGGTCATGGGCATTCTTGTTAAACTAGCTTATTTAAAACATCTCACATTTTGTATGCTGTGAGTGCAAGGAGGTGAAGATGACAAAATCCTATTAGTGCAGTTTGGTGCCACTGACTTGATTTCTGCTAGGGTGCCAGCAGTTAAATCTATTATTGCTTTTACACTGTCAGTGCAAACGTTAACAAAGTTAAAAAGGTAAGTAAAGTCTTAGTATTGTTATAAGTCTTGTTTGACCTGTGGACCCCCGAAAGTTTCCTCCAGGCCCCTCAGAGTTCTGTGGATGGCATTTTGGGAACAGCTGTCCTAGATCCACATGCTACTGTTGGTTGTCTCTCATTAGGTTGCAATTTCTGTGTGGACCGTCTGTAACTGTCTTTTATGTGCTCTTGCCTAACAATGTCCGGTGTAAAACTATAGATATCAGTACCTGTGGAAAGAGAGAGTAAGAAGTTACAAACAACAGCCACATAGCCTTAATCTTGCTACCTGTCCTTAATTTACACGTTTTGCAATATTTTCGAAGTTTTTTCACAGTTATGACACTGGCCAATTTTTTAAATAGTTGGGATGGAGGAGTTGCCTGGTATTATAACCACGCGTTATTGTTTGGTTAAGTATGGTTGAGCATTCATCGGTGACGCCATGGAGTCATTCCTCTCCCGCACTAGTAGGTCAGGTTTTTTCTTTCCCCTTTCGTTTCGTAGTCCTACCTAGAGACTGGCAAGAGCTGGGTCTCTCACGTTTACATGAACACAAGACTTTGGGCGAGTCGTAAAACGGTTAAGAAAATTGATAAAAACTTTTGAAGGGAAATCAGGAGCAAGACCAACAGCCCACTGAGCCCCAAGACCTAGCCTCGCGAGATCCGCCGGGTAGCCGGAGCGACGCTTCCGGCCGGCGTGCGCAGCCGTGGGAGCAGGCGAGTTGGGAAATAGGCGGCTAGACCTGCCCACTGCCGTGAATTTGCCAGCGGGAGCGCGCTCGCGGCCGTGCGTGCTCCGCTTTCCCGGCTCTGTCGCTGACGCGTCGTGGACGTTGGGGAATCGGAGGGAGCGGCAGCAGGAGCGGGATGAACAGCGGCGGAGGCTTCGGTTTGGGTTTAGGCTTCGGCCTCACCCCTACTGCGGTGATTCAGGTGACGAATCTGTCGTCGGCGGTGACCAGCGAGCAGATGCGGACGCTTTTTTCCTTCCTAGGAGAAATCGAGGAGCTGCGGCTCTACCCCCCGGAGTAAGTGCTCAAGCTTGGCTGGGGGAGGGGCACGGGCGCTGTAGAGACCTGGGGACCGCGGCGCGCGAGGAAGAGCGCGGAACGGGGCCGCGCGGCCCCGTCACGTGACCGCTTGGTCTTACCTTGGTGCCCACGTTTGAGTAGGGCACCGGGGCTCGGGGCCCCTCAAACCCACCCTTCTTGTTAGTCGGACTTTTGCGATTTAATCTCTGCAACGAGCCCTTACAAAGGATGCCTTTTTCGTGCCTTCCGGACTTGTGCTCGTCGTTGAATCCTCCAATTCAGTGTCTCCCCCTCCCCTTTTTTCCCGAACTTAAGATGGCTGCAGGTGGGCCCCGAATAGTCCTCCCAGCTAACGTCTGGTGTGTGGTGTGAAAATCGCCGAGACTGCGCCGGAAAAACTGTCTAGTTCTCAGGGCCTAATGTCAGGCCGTTATTGCTGACGAGAAAGCCTGGAATTAGGATGGAGTCAGGGCCATATTTGTTTTCACGGTGGCGTTCACAAATTTAGCATCATGTTGATTAATCTAACCGAGCCCATCCATGTTGTGAAACGAACATGTCTGTTCACCCTTTTGGCAACAGATTAAAATTTCTTCCTGGAAGGTCACACTGTCCTAAACCTTCCAGAAAAAGTATTAGTTGGTGCAGGATGATCTCTGCTGTATACTTTTTAAAGTAGGGAAAGGCCTGGCATTCACAGGTCACGGACACTTCCTAAGCAGCGTATTTTGAAGCAAGATTTCCGTTGTAGAATACCATCTTCTCAAAAAATTTATAAAGGATTTGTGGGTTGTTCAAATCTTACACGCATAACCTTTTTTTAAAGAACGAGCTTAAGAGTTTTAAAATCCTGAGTATTTTGTTTATTGTGTCGAAATCCTTTGAAAGAAGAGAGTTGCCCAAGAGTTATCTTTTTTAAAAATTTGACTTTTTGGTTTATTTCATAGTGATGCATGTATGTAAATTTTCTTGAGTTTTCTGTCTTTGAGTATATCGCATTGCATAGATACTGATAAAAGTTGGTATTTGGATTTTTAAACCTTTAAAATTTTTGCCTCTACTTCTGTTTTGAAGTAATTCATGCATAGAGGAAAGTTGAAAGAACCCATGTTCCTTCACCGGCATTCGTCATTTGCCGCAATTGATTTCTTTCTCTGTCCACCGCTGCCCATCTCCACCTCTACTCGCCCTCTTTCCCATCCTTCTGAAAGTATGTAGTTGCAGACACCGTGACTCTTCATCCCTCAACACTTAAGTGTGTCTGTCTTAAGGACAGTACATTCTCCTACAACACCACAATACTATTAATGTGTCCAAGAAATGTGACATTGATCAAGTAATATGTAACATTTATATGTAAATTTCCCCAAATATTCAAATAATTTTTCTTTTTTTGATCTGGGGGTATAATTGGAGACCACCATTGCATTTGGTTATTGCCTTTAATCTAACAGTCTCCTGTCATCTTTTTAAAAGTCTTTCATGACGCTGATATTTTGTCTTGTAGTTTGTTTTCATAGAATGATTGATCATCTGAGTTTATATAGTTTCTGCATGGTTATATTCAGGTAATACATTTTTCACAACAAAACTTAATGCAACAATATGCACATACATCTGGTTCGACTGGCTGTGGCATATATGGCGTTGACCACCTTATTAAAAACTTCTGAAAATGCCTTCTGTAATCTCCTCATTTAACCAAAACATTTCTTAATTGAGAAGTGCTTGAAGCGCTGTGTCCTGCAAAAATTGGAATCAAGCGCTAAAATACTTTGTACATAAACCTTTACAAACTAACCTTACTTTTAATTAAGGTTGTAATAAGGTGTCCTGAGGTAGAAATAACATCACAAAATAGTCTTCTCTGCCAACATAATACCACTTACATAGTTGAAATCTGACCTTGAGTGGCAACATTCTGCCAGTAATTCTGACACTTAGTAATGAACTGTATTTTTGTTTGTTTTAAAGATTATGTAAGTTTTAGAGGGAAAGGATGAGGGAGGGAAAGAAACGTTGATGTGCCGTGAGAGAAACATCCATTGGCTGTGTCTTGCACATCCTCAAACAGGGACCTGGCCAGCCACCCAGGCATGTGCCCTGCTGGGGACATCGCTTAACCCACTGAACCACACCAGTCAGGATTCATGAACTGTTTTTTGAATTCAAGTGTTAATTACTTGCAGTATAAAATTCAAAGAGAATAAAAAACTTTTTACTTAAATATGATACTTTAATTTGGAGTGAGCGAGTCACAAACTGTAATGTGTTTGCAAAATTGTAACATAAATATAACACATATGGGCCAGACAAAACCCTTAACTAGTTTTCCATAAGTGCAACCCCTTCCTTATTCCTGTTTTTCAAAAGTATTGACATGCTTTAATGAAGTTACAATCTGGTTGATATGTTAAAGCTATGTTTGCAAATTTGGGCTGAAATGGATAACAGTGCAATAGCAATAGTTGTGTTAAGATGTAATTGTTTTGCAGTGTCACAGAAATAGTATTTTATGATTAATACTTAGAAGCTGAGTAGAAATTCATTTCTTTGATGGAGTGTGAAAATAGTTTGTCATTAACATTTCAGTGTTAATGACAGTAAAAAATCTTTGCAGCAAGCTTTTTTATTACGGTTATAATGTGCATACAGAAAAGTGCATGGTGAAGTGCACTTACCCAAAGTGAACTTCAGTACCTGTGTAACAGCACCCAGATCAGAGTGTCTACACCCTAGAAATTCCACTGTGCCACCCTTCACAGGGTAATCCTACCCTGATTTCTAACATTAACTATTGATTTTTTTTCTTGCTGGTTTTCTTTACATCTCTGGTCTTCAGAGGTACTAATAACAAAGACAAAATCTGTCAACTAGTTAAATTTATTTAGTTAAAAAAATGTAACCAGTAGAGTCACTTTATGAAAAATAAAGAAAAAGGAACACGACCTGTGATTCTACTACTCTTGTCAAAACCTCTTTCCATTTCCATGTGTTTTCCTCAAGTGTTTTTTATATGTGTTTATTTTGATACAGTGTGAACAAAGGATTTATACACTATGGGTTAAACTTTTACATCCAACGTATAATAAACATTTTTCATATTGTTGTGTTTTATTTATAGTAATGGTATTTACATACTAATTTGTCCTTAGTGTTTGTGTGTTTTTGAAATATCTCATTGGAGATATGTTGGCTGCTTTTTTAATTTTTGGTGTGTGTGTAAATAAGTCCGTGGATTTTAGCTAGAAGTGAGCATTTGAAATGTGTACTTTGATTGTCAACAATGATTGGAGGGCCCTCTGGTATTTATTGGGTAAGTGTCAATCATCATATTAGAAAGTCTTATGCAAGGAAGAACTGTGCCATGCAGAGCACCACTGGAGTCCTACTGAGAAACCCTGTTATAATTTCTGTGTTATATTTTCATGCGTAAAATTATATACTTTGTCCATGTTTTTTATTATATTCTTTGTGATAGATCCTCAGAGGGTATTAATATAATATAATAAAATATTGAGTATATTACTGTCACATTGTCTTTTAAAGAATTGTGCAGCGTCATCACCATGGTTGATGAAAAACAAAATAACCAGTTCAGGCCCAGGAAATTTAAATGATGCTCAAAAAGTTGGTTTAATTTCTGCATTAAACTCTTAGGAATTCTGATGGAAAAACAAACAATTGCCTGTACCTGTGTGGCTCAGTTGTTTAGGCATCGTCCCTCAAAGTGGAAAAGGTCCCAGTTAGATCCCTGTGGGGCACATGCCTGGGTTGCAGGCCCAGTGCTCTTGTTGGGGTGCTTGCTAGAGGCATTCTGTGGATGTTTCTTTCTAACCTAGATGGTATCTCCTCTCTCTCCCTCCCTTCCCCCCTAAAAATAAATGACATCTTTTAAAAATTAAAAGAGAAACACAGAATTGTAGAAAGTTTTATATATATATATTTTTTAGTGTTTTATTTATTTATTTTTAGAGAGGGAAGGGAAGGAGAGAGGGAGAGGGAGAGGGAGAGAAACATCAATGTACAGTTGCTGTGGGTCATGGCCTGCAACCCAGGCATGTACCCTGGCTGGGAATCGAACCTGGGACACTTTGGTTCCCAGCCCGAGCTCAATCCACTGAGCTATGCTAGCCAGAGCAGAAAGTTTTATATTTTAAAAAACAACAATTCAACGAATGAGGTCGAAGTAAAATCTGGTATTTGGATACTGCTACTTCCCTTAGAGGCATATGTTTAGACCAAATTAAACCTGTAGTTAAAGTTGTTATAAAATGATAATCCTATTAAATTTAAGGAAAAGTTAATTTTTTTTAAATACTCACCTGAGGATATGCTCATTGATTTGAGGGAGGGATCGAGGGAGGGAAGGAGAAGAGAGAGAAACGTCCGCATGAGAAACGTCAGTTGGTTTCCTCCTGTATATACCTTGACCAGGGATTGAACTCACACCCAGGTATATGCCCTGACTGGGGTTGAACCCGCAATCTTTTGGTGTATGGTATGGCGCTCCAACCACCTGAACGACTTGGCCAGGGCAAAAAGTAAATCTAATAGAGAGAAAGCTTTAAATACAGGATTTGGAAACATACTGATTTGTAATTTACCAAGATACTAAATATCTGTATTTATGCTTGCCACTGTATTATAATTTAGCCCCTAATGTTCAAAATAAAATAGTGTTACTACCTATCCTGAAAAGTTTAAATGTTTACATTTGTTGAAATAACTATAGGTTAATCTTTACTCTCTTTATTTTAAGAAAGGTAATTGGAGGTAAAAGTGAAGAAAATTGTGGTGATGTGGCTGTGTCTGCTATCCATGCTCCTATATAATGCTGTTCAGAATAGACCAGATTTTTTTTAAGATTGTATTTATTTGTTTTTAGAGAGAGGTGAAGGGAGGGAAAAAAAGAGAAAGAGACATCGATTGATTGCTTCTCTCACATGCCCTGACTGGGGACTGAACTGCCTCCCAGGCTTGTGCGCTGACCAGAAATGGAACCGGCAACCTTTCACTGGATGATGCCCACACTGGTCAGGGCTAGACCAGAGTTTTTTATTTGTTTCTGGCCTTCCCAAACCTTGGTGTCATGTCTTAACAGGTAGTTGCTTTACTAACCAGGCTCACATTTTTTGTACCTATTTCAAATGATTTGGAAATGTGTTTTTAGTTTTCAGCAGTGATTTTTTAGGTTTTCATTCTTTCACAAAAGGATCTGTCAATTTGGGAAATGTGGTTTTAGTGTTGGCTTGTCAGCTTCTTGATTTCAGTGTTAAAAGAGAGTACACTTGTTGCAGTTGTTAGAGCTTTAATAGCTCATTGTAGTTGTAGATTTTTTTGGTTGCAAAAGACAAAAACAGTTCTATGTAACCTAGTTTTAGAAGAGACATTGAAAAGATAGGATTTCACTAAACTGGAGAATGAAGACTATAGTACAGCCAGGCCTCATGGGAGCTGGGACTGGGAACCAGAAGGGTTTCAGCATCCAAGGTAAAAAGCCTCTTTTTAGAGGCATTGCCAGCTCAGTTTGTTTCTGTGTATCTGCTCAATTTCTTTACAGACCTATTCCCTACTCACTCACCTGGCATCTGGCCCAAGTCCTGACTAAGGGACTTTCCAGGCAAAAGAAAGAGAACCTGATTGTTCTCAGTCCATTTGGTCAAGACACCCAAATTATTGGTTGCTGGTTAGCCAGTGAAATGGGCCCTGGTATCATGAGGCTAATCAGTTGTGGCTAGAAGTTTACATCTGTTGAGGGTTTTACATAGGAAACTGGTAAGGTCTGTGCTGAAAGTATGTAGAATGCTTTGGTAGCACATACCTGATGGGTACCTAATCACTTTGATATCTTAAAATGGCTTTCCAGGAAACTTGAGCCTTGACGAAAAGTGGAATTAGCATTCAGAAAGGGAGTTACAGAAGACATCATAAACAAATGGAACAGCATGTACAAAGATGGCCCAGATGTTCTGGATTCGGGGAATCCCAAGTATTTTTATGCCTGGATTTTGGGTGCATTTAGACAATAAAGCAAGAACAAAGGGTATCTTTGAGGAAATATAAACAATGGAGTGACATGATGAAATTTAGTGTTTAGAAAGATCACTCTGGCAGCTTTTGTGGAAGACCATTAATAAGGAGTTGAGATTTGAGGCAGTGTGATTGGTTGTGAGCCATTGTATTGATACAAATGAGGAATGATGAGGGCCTGAATTAATGTGACACACATTTGGGGGTAGTCTTTATAGCATATAGTGAACAATTGTTTAAAGAAGGGGAAGGGTCAAGGAGAGAAACAACCTCCAAATCTCAGGAGATTGATTTAAAAAAGATTCATTCTTATACTAAACTGGTAAGGTGGGGAACTCTACTCATTGTGACACTCTGCGATGAGGCTGATGTATTAGCCACCCATCTCTTGAATGTTGCTGGTCATTGTGGCAGAGGGAAAGAGCTGAGCGATGGCCCATGAAGCTACTGAATAGTGACAAGGCAGTTTTGCTCGAATTTAATTGGCCAAAGGAAATTGCATGGCTACACTTAATTTCAAGGAACAAAGAAATGGAATTTTACCATGTAGCCAGGAGATTCAGGAGTATTTGTTGAACAGAACTAATGGTGCTCATATTAGTGACTCCCGAATTTCTGACTCAGCTAAGTAGTTGAGATATGAAGTATAGGATAATGGGCAGGACTGGTGAGGAAGGAGAATGATGAATTTTAAGACTTAATAAGTTAAAGTTAGGTCTGGTGACTATTAAGGTGTAATATTCCAGCAGTCACTTGGAATTAGGAGTCTAGAGCTTGGGCAGTTAGTAATGTAAGGGTGAGTTAAGTCTGGATGCAAAGGCATTCACCTCAGAGACATGCATGAAGCGGTTGACTTGATGTTGAGACGAGGATTATTGGAGTGGGCTTCCCTGAACCCTGAATTGAATGGCATTAGGCGGGAGTGAATTGAATTGAGTTGGGTTGGGTAAGAAAGAGGTAGAGCTTTATTTTATTTTTGCAACTTGAACTAGCCTAGTTAGGTTAATAATAATATGAACAGTTTCAAGTTCTAAATGCAAATATATTTTATCACAGTTTTTTAAATCCTCAAATGAGGATATATATTTTTAATTGCTTTTAGAGAGAGAGGAAGAGGGTGAGAGAGAGGCAGACAGACAATGATGTGAGAGAGAAACATCCATTGTTGTATCTGCTGGTATGTACGGATTTACCTTGCCCATATCGGAATTGAACCTGCAACCTTTTGGTGCACAGGATGGTGCTCCAACCAACTGGCCACCTGGCCAGGTCTATTTGATCTAAATTTTAGCATAAATACATATATTTTATCATTATCAAGATGGATTTGTTGCTGTATGTGAAAGATATTTTTATATTAAAAGTAATGAATATTTGCAGTTACTAATTAAACAGTACAGTAAGATTGTTTTAAAATTTTTGGTTAGTTGAATGGTAAAGGTTGCTTGAAATTTGGAATGAGATGGGTAGATTTTAAGTTCCATCTGTGCCATTTACTACTAGCTCTAGGATTATAGTCAATTTCTTTGCTCTATTTTGTAAACAAAATTACTGTTATTGCAAAAGACATTTTTCAAATGATCTCTTCTTTTTTAGTGTGAAAAACCTTAATGATTTAAAGTATTGTACATTTATGTTATATAGGTATATATTTTGTTTGGGGTTTTTTTCCCTTGCTAAAAATAATTAAGTCTTAAATTGAAAATAATAATGGACAGGTTGACAAAATGATCATCCATGAGGAAAGTGTGTTTTGCAGTCTGAGAGGATGGATTCATATTATGGAAAAATTGTTTTCATCTGTGCTGTGTCTGGTTTCTTTTTACTATAAGCCTGCCTAGATTGAACTGAATCTAGTAGAACTTGTAAGAGTCTTTACTCTTTTGCATATAATGTGTAAAATTCTGTGTGTGAAATCTTTTCTCTGGAAAATCACAATGCTGCTGCCTAGCCTGAAGTAGTCTAGTATATACAGAAGACCTTAATATTAATTTCGTGTTGTCTCATTGTTTCTAAGACTGTTAGGCAGTTTTTAGAGATTTAAATATGCCAGGAAGGGTTGAAAATGGTTATAAAAACTTCAAGTCTTGAGGGTTGGGGCTGTTATAAATGGATTTTGCCTATTCATACACTGGTTCAGCATCTTTGGGTTAAGCAGCTGTTTTCACATTTCACTCAGAATAAAAATTTAAAGTTTTTAAATTTAAATTTAAATTTCATACAAATAAGGCTGATGGCCTGCCTAGATTTCCATCAGTCTTTGCAGACACATCACAGTTAAAAGAATAAGTTTTGTTATTTTATGTCTTAACGATCCTTAGCAACAAAACTTTGTAAGTCTTGATTATATAAGATTATGAAATCTGAGGAAAAAAATGAATGAAAATGACAAAACCAATCAAATATTTGTTTTTATGTCTAATTGTTTTTCTTTTTATCTTGCAGCAACACACCTCTTGCTTTTTCTTCCAAAGTATGTTATGTTAAGTTTCGTGACCCATCAAGTGTTGGCGTGGCCCAGCATCTAACTAACACGGTTTTTATTGACAGAGCTCTGATAGTTGTTCCTTGTGCAGAAGGTTGGTATTTCACATGTTTTTTTTTCCTATTATTTAATCTCTGTCCTCTTTGTTAACTATCTTTGGTTTTCTTAGAAATTGGCAAGTAGATATCACTTTGGCATGTGTGTATATGTGTTTGTGTGTGTATGTATGTGAGAATGAAATTTGGAGAAGAGACTTTTTACTAGTAAAATATATTAAAATGGTTCACTTGTTACTTAACATAAGTTTAATAAATAGCTAAACATTTAAAAATTTATAAATTACTTAGCTTCTCTGGTTTACTTTGGCTTTCTGTAGTTGATTGGTAAGTTGCAAAGAAAGCTTTCTGAAATTAAAGAAAAAGTAGATTGGTTCGGGAAATTATTGTAAATGTATAAATTAGTAAGCCCTTCCCTCTGTGTATACCAAGTTAGTATTACATAAATAAAAAGTGTACACATCTTTGCCAAATTGGGATTAAGTGATATTTATGTTTATAAGAAAAACATGAATAATTAAAGCTTTAAAGTATTCTCTTAAGGTGATTTACCTTGTAACTGAGACCATTATTTCATATTCAGGATAATTGTTTGCTATGCAGCTGTAATTTACTTTTTTTTTTTTCTGTCTTTTTTTGGGGGGGTTATTGTAATTGAAGAAAAATCATGAAACACAAATTTCCTCCATTAAGGAAATAGTTGTGGAAGATGTGAACACAGTTGTGGCGTTACAGTTATTTGTTACATTTTACGACTTAACCTGCTTTAAAAGCTAATTGTTACTAATATTTATTTTTTAGTAGCTTCTATTTACAGAGCCACTCATATAATAAGCTGTGCTGAATTTGACAGTTCTGGTGTGTAATTAACTTATTCAGAGCACTGACTATGGCATGTGTATAAGGATTTTAGAATTGGGTTATTACAATTTAAATGTCTTTAAACTGCATTTTTACTGGTGGATGGTAGTAAATTTACAACATAAAAATTTTACCTGAAACAATGTAATGTATTCTCATTTGTAAATGTTTTAAAACCTCTTTGAAAAATCAGGCTAACATGAAAATAACATGTATAATGTTATTTTATAGTTTCAATGTTTTATGCTTATTTCAGAATGCTATTCTGAGATGTTAAAAACATTAGTCACATACAAGTATCATTCTGTTATTTTTGGAGTCCCAAAATAGAACATTCTGAATTTTTTTTCAGATGAATTCTAAAGTACTTTTTCCCATCCATGCCTAGGAGTTAGAGTGGGGTAGAGAGAATAAAAATGTATTAATTATTTGCTAAATCTATCCTTATCTACTGATATATAAGGGGGCAATGAGCCCAGAATTGGAGAGTAAGGTGACAAAAGAGCTGGTAGTGGTTTAGTTCTACAAACCAAGTTCATACCAATTTCACACCTACTAAACTGCATGGGGAAAACAAATCAGGTAGAACATTTATTGAACAAGAATATTAATTATTATATCAGTAAAAGATGCCATCAGCAACACAGGTTCTGTATTATGTTTGGTTTTCACTGAATTAGAAGGAGGAATTTTATCAGTTATTGCTTTGTTGGAACCTTACTGTAGTCCCATAGAATTTTTTAATGTAGTATTTGAGAAGCCCTGGCTGTGATTTGTCAAAAATGTTTCAGGTTATGGGCAGGTAGAGGTTCCTTGTTTTTCACTTGATAGAGATGAATAAATGTACATTATGCTAGCTTTTCACTTTTTTAATACAATTTTGAGACAGTTTCACTGTTTCTGAACATGAAAACTTAAATATTTTTATTGTAATTTAGTTAAGTATTTTAGAACACTTATAATCGGTATTAGGAAAACATTCAGACACAATTTTTCATTAAACTATATACAATAGAGATGATTTATAGAACCTGCAGAATGTCGTAGTGAGCTCTTAAAGATCTGATTATGCACTGCAAGCAAAGGAACAATGTATTATATTTTGTACCAAAAAAGATAACAAAGTGAGTTTGAAATAAACCGAAGGAAAGAGTTCCATTGGAGTAAGTTCTGTGAATGATGTGCTGTAGTGCTGTAAGCAGTGTTCTGTTTACTTCACTGATTCTATTCTCTCCTTGCTGTTGTAGAAACAGCATTATGAAAGAAATGAGAAAACCATAGAACAAAATTTTAAGAAAAGTTTTTCTGTCAATTTGCTGTTTTTTTTCAAAAAAAATATAGACAGTATTATGAGACAATCCTGAGCTGTATAAGTAATGTTTGATGTGTAATAGTTTCATACATCTTAAGCATTAGCTATTGTTAATAAAACATGCCATTTCAAAATAAAATATACTTTTGTTATATTTGTCTAAATATGACCTCTTTTTGTTGTTGTGTGCATCTCAGATTTATTTTTATAAATGTTAACACTTAGAAAAAGATAAGGTCAGACATAACAAGGGTGTCAGCCTAATCATCAGTCATAATTTTATGTCCACATTTTCTGGTAGATGGATTTTGACTATTAATTTGGTTTTGTATGTTTTCTCTATGTGATATTTGTGCATTATTAGATGACTAGACTGGCCAAGGCAGACCTGTTACACTTGCCTGACACTTGCCTGAGTTAGGCATTGTTTGCCATGCCACTAAACCGGCCGTCAAGTGAAACCTTCATTGGGGAAATGAGATCGGAGTCTGAACCGCAGAAGATGGACGCCCTGTCTCTGTTTTTTATTGTTTTACTTTAATTTCATTTCTTTTTATTTTGTCCCTTTTTTTGTTTTTGTTTTGTTAAATCTCTTTCACTTTAACTTGTGAGCTGGTTTTCCAGTTCTTTGTAAATGGTATTCCATTAAGGGTTCATAACATTGCATTGCAAAATATATGGGGAGATGATCAGCAGAGCTCAGCTTTAAGATAAAATAAATTTTCACAATAAATTAAGATACAGTGTTAAGGAGACTATGTAGGGATCTTAATTGGTGTTCATGGACTGACTAGGTACATTTTGTTCTTGAAACACTGATAAGATTATTAGAAACATTTTCTGATCTTAGTGCAACATTTTTGCAGTTTTTCTTCCAAGTCGACATCTTTTTAAAAAACCCAACTGATAGCATCCTTCCTCCTAGGATTTTAGGCATACAGAATCAGGGAAAATAAGTAAATTTCTTCCAACAGTCTGGGTAGAGGACCCAGAAATTTCTACTTTTATGATAGTTATTTATTATAGAAAATAACATTTCCTTGACTTATAAAGACTTCAGTTGTCTACAAGGAAAACGGATATTAGAGAAACTATTGAATACTTAGTTATGTATGTTTCTCTGTTTGCTTGAACTTTTTGTTGAAAAATATTCAAAGGCCTAGTAGGTTTTAAAAAGATCCTGAGATTAGGACTAGTACTTTAATACCAAGAGACATTGTTCTCAGTTGTCATTGGGTATATTTTAGGAAGAATGCTGGATGCTCATTTGTTTTATATTGGTATTTACAGGGTAAATTTGATAGAATTCTATCTTGGAAGTTAAGTAATGGAATTTCTTTTTTAAAGTATTTTTAATAGTAATTAGAATAAGAAAAAGTAGTGTGCTTACAGTTAGACTTTATAATAGTTTTTTACTACTGTGAGGCAATGAGAGTCAGATCATCTACTGATGCTTTTTTTTTTTTTTTTTTTTTTTAGGCCAAAAGTGAAGGTCTTTATAATATTAAGTATTCAACGTTTGGCCTGTGTTGAATACCCTTTTTGTTTGGGTAGTCTTTCTACATTCTCTAGTATGGATAATTTGGCTTATTTAATTGGCAGATAATATTAAATTGGGACTTTACTAGATTGGAACTCTTATTTTTTTAGATACATAAATTAGAGTAGCAAAGTACAGGGTTTTTACCTTAGGACCTCAATTGCTTTATCAAGATGTGTTCAGGTTTTACAAACATTTAAAAAATAATTCCTATCTAAAACAGGTCTGATAATATATGTAGATAGTATATTTGTGGGTATACAGATACATGTGTTAATACTAGTAACTAATACAAAATTACTGTTATTTGATGTTTTCAGTTAGGCCACCTGCCTTTCATTTACCTTTATGCATGTTTAAAAAAATCTGTGCTTATGCAGAATTTACACTGAAATAATAAAATAACTTTGTTTTTGAAACTAGTAGATGAAAGTAATACAGACTTAGATGTTGCAAAGCTTAGGAAAAATAGACATTTGTTAAAGCTAATAAAATGTCATTTTTTGTTCGTGTAAGCAAGGTGTACCCATTATTTAAAGCAGGTTTTAAAATCCATCTTGAATTCCATTCATGTTTAGAGCTATGTTTAGATAATAAATTGTTAAGAGGTTTATCTCTGCTATCGGGTTGTTTCAAATAGTGTTTTTACCACTGAAACCCAGCATGGTGCTTTTGAAAATTTATTCCATATGCCATTTTCAATTTAGCATGACTTTCTATACACTGTTTTAAATTACTTTTGAAGAATTCATAATGAAAATGCATAGCTAACTAATTATGAGTAGTTCTTCTAAAATAGCTATATGTAGTCAACTTTTTTAGAAATATTTTTTTTTGGGGGGTGGGGTATAAGAGAGAGGTTCAGGAAAAATGTATGAGATTTGCAGTCCTTATCAAAATTAATTGATTAGAATTCAGTAATTAAATATGGAAAATTGATGTACTTATTTCAGAGTAACCTTTTCAGCTTTTAGTCATAGGATTATTTTTAACATCTACAATTATTTCAGTGTTATTGTCATTATTGTTATTAGGCATTTGAGATGTTTATAAGCAATACACTTAGGCATCAGCTACTCCTCTTCAGATAAGTATGCATAAATTGGTTCTAAAAGTCAATGGTTTAAAAGTTTCCTAAAACTAGGGAACTTTTTTTTTTGTTAGGTACTTAAAACAATGTAGTAGTTTTCCTAGAGATATTCTTGGAACTTGGATTCTTTTGGGCATTTCTGACATTGTTGATGAGGTGCCTTATTAACTAAATGAGTATAGACTTCCTTTTAAATTGAAGCTGATTACATGCAGTAGGTTTTTTTTTTTCTGTCTAGTTGAAATTGAATGGAATTTATTGGAAGGGTTATCAAAATTGTTTGCATCACAAGTAGGTAGTTTCAATAACAGCATAGGGGCACTCAGTAAGGAACAAATTTCAATTTGCTTTTTCTTTTTCTTTTTTTTAACTAATTTGGTTATTTGCCATTTCTGGGGATTAAACTTTAAAAAATGTTCTTCTTTTCTGTATCTGATGTTCTGTGTGCTATTAGTGATGCAGCCAACACGAACGGTTGTCATGTGTAACACAACTTTCGATCACCGCGAAAACACCGTCCTGGGAAAGCGTCCATGCTTGATATCGTTTGGTTCATGAACATTAAGTTTCCAGTACAGGTGACCCATAGCTCAAAGTGTTAAATAATTGTCTACATTATTCAATTTTTAAAATAATATTCCATTAATGAGATTGTTAGTCTTTGAAGTTTTGCTCACTTTTATTTTTCCTAGTAGAGCAGGATAAAAGGAAAGACTTAAGTTCTAATTTATTTCTTTATACGAATCTGATAGATTCATTTATTATTATTATTATTTTTTAAGTGCAAGGGTAATTGTAAAATCATAGTGTAAATTTTGTGTGGTGTTTCTGCTTTTTGTAATCTTTGAAACTTGCTTCTGCAGGTAAAATCCCAGAGGAATCCAAAGCCCTCTCTTTATTGACTCCTGCTCCAACCATGACGAGTCTTATGCCTGGTGCAGGCTTGCTTCCCATACCGACCCCAAATCCTTTGACTACAGTAAGTACTAGATACCCTCTTCTGAAAGGGAGGAATGTCCAACCGTCTAATCCATTGAATAAAGAGCTTAGAAAATTTTTATTTTAGTTTTGGCCAGTGTGGCTCTGTTAATTGAAGGGTTGTCCTCTAGACTGAAGGGTCCCAGGTTCGATTCTTGGTCAAGTCACATACTCAAGTTGGGGTTAGATCCCCAGTTGGTGTGTGTACAATAAGGCAACCAATTGATGTTTCTCCCTCACATCGATGTTTCTTTCCTGTTATCTCTCCCTCCCTCTCCCTTTCTCTCTCCAGAAGCAATGAAAAAAGTCCTTAGGTGAGGATTAAAAAAACCCAAACTTTTAATTTTGAATCTTTTTTTTTTAATGGAGAGGATTCAAAATGTCTACTTAAATTTTGTCCCTCACATTGTCAACTACCTTTTGGAATGTGGAAGTAACTGAAAATGTATTTAAATTTGATTATTCTAGAAAATCAGTTATTCAAACTTAGCATTTTAGATAGCAAAGTGAATTGGAGAATCTAGGTGACTGTATTTCCAGTTCATGAGGGCTACATTTATTTTTAAAGTATGAACTGATTCACAGCCTGATAATGGGAAAAAATATCTAAGAGAAGGATTTATCTGGGAAAATAATGTTTCTACAAGGTAGAAACATGGCAAAATATTTTTTCATTAACTCTCTGGAATTAAATAGTCATGTAATGCCTCCTTTGTGATTTCATAGTGGGGTTAAAAAAGATAACTGCTGTTAACTGTGTTCTTAGTTTTTATGTAAAAGATTCTGATCATATTTATTTTAAAAGAAGGGTCATTTTTCTTCCAAAGTAAACCCAAGACAAAATATAAATCTTACTGTAATTGAAAGTTTTATCTAGCTTTGTAGTACTGGATTATTAGGGAGTGAACTCATAAACTTTATGATTATAGTTAAATTGTCCAGGTTATAAAAATAGTTTCTGAAACTTTGAAGTGCAAGATTTTAGGTCTTTTTAGTTTTGCACGACATTGTTCTGTTCTGCAGGAGACCTGTGTTGTGATTTATAGGGGGAAATGCTTTTTAATTCAACAGTTGATCTTTTGTATTGAGCTTTGTAGAAATTTTATTTTGGGTATATTTTGGTAAGGTTTAATATGTTAATCCCTAGGTCACTACCCTCCCCACCACCTGTATTTTCTTTCCATCTTGAAAATCCTTGGTGATTTCACTGTTTAAATTAGCTCCCAAGAGTGGTGCTAAAGTGTTGCCTAGTGTTTCTAAGGGTTGGAAGGCTATGATGTGCCTTACAGTGAAAATAGTGTTAGATAGGGTTCATTCAGGAATGAGTTGATATTGGTGATGAGTTCAGTGTTAATGAATCAACAATATGTATTAAATAAGGTGTCTTTAAACAGAAATACACATGAAGCAAAGTTATGTGTTGGTTAATGAAGATATTGTGACCAAAGGCTTGTAGGAACCTAGCCCTGTATTTTTCCTAAGAGCAATGATTCAGTATTCAATAATACAGTGTTGTGGCAACTTTATAGGTCATAACTATTGCAAATAATGTGGATTGACTATCTGTTTTTAGTGTTAAGTTTAAAAGGAGGTAAAACATCCAGATAGTTAAGACATATGTTACATTTCTAAATACATTTAAAACCACTGTGACCTCACTTGTAGTAATTTAGACATACATCTGGCTTAAAGTTAGGAGTCCCTAGTTTCTTCCCATTCTTAATGAGTTGATCACATCTGTTCAAGATCAGAGAAGGATTAATTTCTGTAAATATTATTTGTTTATTTCTCTCTCTAGCTATTTTGGAGAGAGAAATAGAGGGAGAGAAACATCGGTCAGTTGTCTCTTGTACGTGCTGTGACTAGGCACCAAACCTACATCCCAGGCTTGTGCCCTGACTGGGAATCAAACCAGTGACCTTTGGCTCTGCAGGATGACACCCAACCAACGGAACCATACCATCCGGGGTGAGAATCATAATTTTTGATACTAACAAAAAATATGTTCTTTTTCTTTTTTAAATAGCTGGGCGTTTCCCTTAGCAGTTTAGGAGCTATACCAGCTGCAGCACTAGATCCCAATATTGCAACACTTGGAGAGATACCACAGCCACCACTTATGGGAAATGTGGATCCTTCCAAAATTGATGAAATCAGGAGAACAGTCTATGTTGGCAATTTGAATTCCCAGGTAATGAAGAAACTGATTCTTCCCCACTTCTTAAAAATCATACAGATTGAATAAAGTAATATTTACCTGATTTTTCAAAAAAAATATTAAAGTGTTACTTTGTTTCTTTAGACAACGACAGCTGATCAGCTACTTGAATTTTTTAAACAAGTTGGGGAAGTGAAGTTTGTACGGATGGCAGGTGATGAGACTCAGCCAACTCGGTTTGCTTTTGTGGAATTTGCAGACCAAAATTCTGTACCAAGGGCCCTTGCTTTTAATGGAGTTATGTTTGGAGACAGGCCACTGAAGTAAGAAACCCTAAACAAAGAAATTTTAATGATTTTGAAAAACTTTATTTTTGATGTAATTAAGGCTTTTTTTCTTTTTAATAGTAATTGGCAATTTGTGGAAAGGAAGACTTTGTGTTAAGTAAAATGAATGCCTGACATGCCTTTCATTTTAGCCTTTGTGTTTGTATTTGAAGACATCTGATTTTCTAAGGTCAAGTTTAATGTTAATGTTGTTTACAGACCCCACATTAATGACTGTAGGGTTTTTTTCCATAAGCTTTTAACAAGTCAGGTTGGTTCTGTATTATGAGTAGACTGATGGACAGTTTAACATATGGGTTGAACTTTAATAATATAGTAATAAGAATTTTGGTAAATCCGAAATCCCAGGAAGAAAATAACGTTAATACCCAGAAATGATTTAAATCATACATTTTGAGTTTTACAGTTGGTTCACATATTTGTTTGCAAAATGAAAAATTGATGTAACCTGTCAGGTACTCAATACCAGAAATTCTATTTCATGCAGATTATTGAGGTAATGGTTTTATCTGAATTTCTTAGGCAGTTGCCTTAGTTATACAATTTTATCAGGATGCTGCTATTAAAGGATAAATATTTGTAACTCTTCTTAGTGAATGCTCGTCTTCTCACTGTGGAAGGGGTAAGTGAGGCAGACCAAATTCATCTGTGTGCATCAGAGAAGCCACTCTTACCTGGTAGAGAAAGAGTTTTATTAGATAACCTCCCACATTCAAACTGTGTTACTCAGCTGTGGTCCAGCTTCCCCTTTGTCTTCCCTGGGTACAGAAGTTGTCAACAAAATTTTATAATCTAAGAATAGAAATGATTTGTTTTAATATTGGTGTCCACATTTTAATTTATTATATTCTAAGCTATGCAGGAAAGTAGTTGTTCTGGTCTGTTCAAGTTAAGTCAGCTAGCATTTAGGTTTTTGACTTTGTTAGCAAGAGATGATGGCAGGTTATACATCATGGAATGAGATACATCATGGTTTTGAGATGGGTATTGGTTATTTATTTAGCCCTATATGTTCTCAGTGTGCTTTCAAGATACCGATTTATAAGTATATGTATCACGTAAACATTTATTTCATGTTTTGTAAAAGATGGTGTGTATTTGTGATATGCTAATGTTTTTAATTTAGAATAAATCACTCCAACAATGCAATAGTAAAACCCCCTGAGATGACACCTCAGGCTGCAGCTAAGGAGTTAGAAGAAGTAATGAAGCGAGTACGAGAGGCTCAATCATTTATCTCAGCTGCTATTGAACCAGGTAAGGCCATAGTGTTGTTACATAGGTCATAGTTTAAGATCATAGAATCTTAGAGCTGCAAGGAACTTTAGAAATTATCTTGTTCAGTCCCTTCATTTTATAAACAAGAAGACTGAAACTCAAGAAAGAGTAAGTGACTTACTAATGCCAAAGGTCAAAGAAGTACTTAGCACAAACATTCTTTTCCCCTGATACTGAATTGAGGCACATTGGCCTGAGTCAATCAGTTTTTTATACTTTAAGAGCAAAATTAGTGCTTAAAACTGATTTGCTTAAAAGCAAAGTGTAAATGTTACTGGGAGGCTAAAAACAAGAATCAGTATATTTAAAATGTGATGATTAAGCAGACTCATTTTTTATCAAAGTTTTAATTCTAAAAATAAAAAAGAGAGTCCATGATCTAGGAAAAACACAGACATATTTTAGCAAGGCAAAAAGAACACCTACCTCTTCAAACTTTTGTGTTCCTAACAAAAATTTTAAAATCAAGTCTAAAAATGTCTAGATGGTTTACAATTGAGCAAAAATTAGCACTCAGAATTTAAGTTTCAATTCTAGAAAATAAATGGAGAAAGGATTTTAAATTACTGTTATTGGAATTACAGACGTGTTATAATCGTACATTATGGCAGCAACAAAATATTACGAACAGCTGTTTATAATCATCTGGTTTATATGTACTGCTGCAGGGTGCTGCACTCAACGAGTTTATGCAATGACTTTCTTGGATGTTTCTGAAGGATAATTGCACAGGAGGAGGATGTACAGAGAGTAGGCCCCTTGCACTATGTGTGGTACATTCCCCTTGTGCCTGATTATTAACTGGGATCTTTAATTGTTCTGAGCTTACACTGCAAAGTGGTTTTTTCCTCCCAGAGTCTGGAAAGAGCAATGAAAGAAAAGGCGGTCGATCTCGTTCCCATACTCGTTCAAAGTCCAGGTCTAGCTCAAAATCCCATTCTAGAAGGAAAAGATCACAATCAAAACACAGGTGAGAATTTCTGCCATCATTTTAAATTTTTTTGGTTTTGTATTTAAAATAGTTAAGAGGTTTCATCTAAATATCAGAGTTTAGAAATTTCATAAAGTTCACCAGGAAATATGGTTACCATTAAATGTTGCTTTAATTAAAATACTACAGTTAAGAATGAAATTTCATCTAATTAATTTGTAATTTTTATTTCAATTTAATTTTTGTTTTAGAAGTTGGTTTTCTCTCTTAATACGATGCTGTGTTTCTGATTTTTCTAAGAGTAAGCTAGTCTTTATACAGAACTGGCAGAAACTTTTCATACAGAGAAAAGGGGAAACACCATGGGTTAGGGTAATGCTGAAAATATTGCTGAGGTCTCAGGAGCTTGCATCCCCTGCCCCGTTCCCTTCAGGGCTGGGAAGTACCACCCCAGATCTTGTTTTCAGGTTGTTACCTATCTCCAGTACTTAGGGACTTGAAACATAGGAGTAACTTGTGGCTTAATTCCAGCTATTGTATTGTGCTTAGCTCTGTTTCTGTTCTGTTTATCTTATTTTTGAGCCTAGCTGTGTTTCAGTTTTTCTTTTAAATCTGTTGTGTGTGGCACAAAGGGGACCTCACAATGTAAGCTTGCAACGCCATCTTGATTGTGAGCCTAAAGTGCTAAGTTTTATTGTCTTAAAGATGTGGAGGGGCAGTTACTGAAGTGTGAAAATATATATAGTGAATCCTAACTACATGTTGTGTATATATATGTACTTATGTCTAAAGAGAAGAGGTAGAGAATAGTCTATGTGCATGTGGTGCGGGTGTATTAGAGAAGGAGGGGAGGGAACCAGTATGCTGCTGTATGTTGAACCTCACCAGCAAGCTCAGTTTAGTATCCTTTTCTGTATTGTTAAAGGAGATTGAAACAATGCCATATGAAAAGATGATACTCATTTTTTCACTCTAGTAGACTATACTTTTTGCCATGTACTGGTGTGTATACTTCCTGTTGTTACTAGTTTGTAAAATCTCTTCTGGGATGTGGTTATACTATCTGTTCCTCCAGCCAAGGCCTTTATAGTAGGGCAAGTTCAAATCCAACTGAAAGATGTTTCATGTACAAGGAATGACGCAGTGCAGCGGAAGCCAGAATTGGAGAAGGAAAGGGGTATAGAAACAGTGGTACTAGCTTGTGGATATTACCAGAAGTTGACAGGATGTGGTGAACATAATGGTGAGGGAATACAGAATTGAACTGAAGGGTAACAACTTCTTTCCGAGGGAAAAGACCAATGACCTGAATCTCATTATGTGTTGATTACAAGAGCCAAGCTCCAAATATAATGCCTGAATGGTTTTCTAAGGCTAGAATGAAGCAAAACTTAATGACTAATGTCATTGTTTACTTAGTAACCTCTGGGAAGCTATCCTGTATCTGGGGCAAAAAAAATTTATCCACTTTAAGGTTTTTACTTACCATTTTAAGTACCTTTGGATATTTTCCTCTTCCAAGAGCTGATTGGGGGGAGGATTATTCAGTCTGAAATGAAATTTGTTATTATAGTTCTCATTTATGGTAGCTTTCATGTAGGTCCATCTAACTGTGTAGCATTCTAAATTACTAATTCTCAGCATGCATACACTGACCCTTGAACTGCATGGGTCCACATATATGTGGATTTTTTTCAATAAATATATGAGTATAGTCAGCTGTCCATATCTTTGGGTTTAGGATTCGTGGATTGAACCAACCACAGATTGAAGACAGTATTTTTGGTTCATAGGTTGGTAATGCACGAATGTAAAAGGCCGACTATATGCATTTTTCCGTGCCATTTTGTATAAGGGACCTGAGCATTTGCAGATTTTGGTATCTGTGGTGGGGAGAGGGCATAGTTTTGGAACCAATCTTTTGTGGATAACAGGGATGATTGAAGTTTTGGGGAGTCACAACATTTTCAACTGCAGGCATCAGCACCCCAATACCACATTGTTCAAGGGTCTACTGTATGTATACACACGTGCACATATATAAACATAACCTGCTTATATACACACGTTTACATATACTTTTTGTAAGCATGGAAACACATAGCTTTTACTAAGTTTTTAAAGAAATATGTAAGAGGGTGAGCTCTCTTTAAAAGAAAAGAGGGCCCTTACCCAAAAAACATTTGACTTAAGGATCTTGACGTGGAAGTAACTTCCCCAACATAGGAGGGGAGGAGGATGGCAGGCATTGATTAGCTTCCCCTCCCTTGCTGGTGTGACTTGAGACCCTCAGCTGTGGCTCTGACCTAGTCTTATCGGGAGTGTGAGTTGTAGGAGCTGTTGTTCTTGAATGTCCACCCTCTTCTCAGTTTTAATTGTTCTCAGGTACTTCTAAAGCCTCCTCCTCCTCACCCTTTCCCTTCCTTTTTGTTCTTTTTTTTTAAGAATTTATTTATTTTTAGTGAGGGAAAAGGAGGGGTTGGGAGAGAAACATTGATTTGTGAGAGAAACATCAGATTGGTTGCCTTTTGAAAGCTCTTAACTGGGGGGTCTGCCCTGCAGTCCAGAAACAGGCACCTACCAGGAACTGAACCTGCAACTTTCGGTTTGCAGGCCAGCGCTCAGTCCACCAAGCTACACCAGCTGGGGCAACTCCTTCCTTTTCTTGGGAAGGAGGAGAAGAGTTTCTTGTCACTATGACCTTGGCTAGGGCTGGGATGATGTGTTTCTGCTTTTTGTTTCCAAATTTGTGTGTTTTTTCATAGGGACAGTGTTAGGAAAGGTGGGCAGTACTATAATTACTATTTTAAAGTTAAGTAATCTTTACAGACCAGCATAGGAACTATAAAATATTTTATAATATTTTATGGGAAACAACTGACTTACAAATGGTCTTTGATGCAACATGATGGTAAGTTGCCCTTTATTCACCGTTAAATGTATAAATGCAATTTTGCACATTACTCTAAAATGAGGACTGCTAACAAATTTTTATCTTTGCTTGGATTACATGTGCTTTTGATTTTAAGCTTTTTGACTAGAGGTGAGATAGACAGAAATATTTAATGTCACAATTAAAATACAGTAATTACTCTTGGGCAGTAACTCTGAGGACCTACAAGGTAAGATAGGAAACCAAGTGATCAGTTTTTCTTTTTTTTTCCTTTCTTTCTTTCTTTTTTTTTTTTTTTTACTTTTATCTATTCGGGCTATGCTTACATTTTTAAAAGGAGTTTCTTCACTTAATTAAGGTTGGAAAGCATTGTTTGAGAAAAACAAAGTTGTTATTTATATTTTTAGAGGGGTTAACTAGAACAAATCTTAAGAATTTTTTAAGTATATAGAAATAAAGGCCCTTACTACATTACCCTTATGTGGACTTCTGAAAATGGACTGAAATGTTCTAAGTTTTGCATTTTTGCCTTAATACCTATTATTTGACTTTTGTATCTCTTAGGTAGGTAATTAGTGATTAAAAATTTCAACAAACTACGAATTATATTAAAAATTTGGTATGAAGATAAATGTATATTTTTAAAGCAATAGATGAATAGTTTGATGGAAAATTAGCTCTTAGAACACAAATTTTAACTGAAAAAATCTATTAAACAAAATTTCATCATTAATTGAGGGTTATCTGGAGGGTTTTCTGGTTTCATAGTATACCATAAGCATTTAACTATGTTATGTCTTTCATAGATATTTGGTTTAATTCACGAAACTGTGACTGTCAAGATGAGTTTTAATTATATAAAGCATGGAAGCTCATTTGGCCTCCTTGGAATAAATTAAAGATAGAATTTAAAGTTTTCATTTAAGTTGATGATGATAATACTGAGTATTAAGAATTTTAAACATTTATTCTGTGCTGGAGCCTGCTAGGCAATTAATTTTCCATGTATCATTTGATTTAATCCTCATGAAAGCCCCAGAAGATGTAGGTATAATTCTTGTTCCACTTTACGAAGAATCTCAGGCTTAGAGAGATTGACTAACCAGAGTTTTCACAGCTAGTGTGTGGCAGAGCTGAGTGTTAGAGCCAGATTGTCTTGACTCCAAAGCTGGTGAGTCTCCTCACTCTGTTGTTAAGGTTGTGTGCATTCAGTTTTGTTATATTCTAATACATGCTTTCTAGAATATTTCATTATTAAAAAATTACATTATGTAAACAGTTATTTCAGTGGGGTAAAGGAACCTAACGAATTTCACAATTGGAATAACTATTTTTCTTTCAAGAATTTCAATAACAAAGGTTTCTTTTAATAGCTGTATTTGTATAGTTATAAAATCAAGGCCTTGCAAATTCATCATTTGATTATATCTGTCTTTAACTCAGAAGTAATGATGTTTATTGTAAATTACTTAAATTCTTTTCTCTGTTTTCATGTGTGTTCTGGACAGTGATCTATCTGGTAAAGTTTCCAGTAAATTTATTTTAGAAAATCTAACTGAAGCATTACATAGAAGAGAATTTTAAAATAATGATACAGACTTTCAGGATAGGTTTTAAAATTCTCTTATTTGTAAGACATCTTAAATCTTAAAAAATTGAAATTCTAAGAAAAAGGTTTGACATTATAACAATTTCTTTTTAGGAGTAGATCCCATAATAGATCACGTTCAAGACAAAAAGATAGACGTAGATCTAAGAGTCCACATAAAAAACGCTCTAGGTCCAGGGAGAGACGGAAGTCAAGGAGTCGTTCACATTCACGGTGAGTTTTTGGAAAATTACAGATAATTTTTTTGTGGCTTTGTTTCTTAAAAATCTGTTGTAGTTTAGGTTTTTAATGAGAGAAATGAAACTTTTTTCTGATTTAATAATGATTAATGATCAATTTGGTTGTTTTTGTAATGATTAATTTGATTTAGTAATGATTAACCAATGATTTATATTGGTTTCCATTGATTTGACTCTGATGGCCATTATGACTGATGAGGTTTCCTGACTATTATACTGAATTCCACCTGGTTATCTTTTTCATTTAGCAGCTTAAGTTATAACTGAGATACATAGGGATTTATATGTGATGTCTTACAACTATTATAAATTATTTTGTGTTGATAATTATTGAAGAAGGGGAGGTTCTTTGGGGGAGTAGAATTACTTCACTTGTGAATTTACTTATTTTTGTTTTTAAAGGGACAAGAGAAAAGACACTCGAGAAAAGATCAAGGAAAAGGAAAGAGTGAAAGAAAAAGATAGAGAAAAGGAAAGGGAAAAAGAGAGAGACAGGGAAAAGGAACGTGAAAAAGAAAAGGAACGGGGGAAAAACAAAGATAAAGACCGGGATAAAGAACGAGAAAAAGACCGGGATAAAGATAAAGACAAGGAAAAGGACAGAGAGAGGGAGCGGGAAAAAGAGCATGAAAAGGAGCGAGACAAAGAGAAGGAAAAAGAACAGGATAAAGAAAAGGAACGAGAAAAAGACAGATCCAAAGAGATAGATGAGAAAAGAAAGAAGGATAAAAAATCCAGAACACCTCCCAGAAGTTACAATGCATCAAGAAGATCTCGTAGTTCCAGCAGGTTTGTTATGCTTAAAATTTTTACCAAGGGGTTTACTGATGACAAATGTAAACATGAATTAACTGAGTGGAAAAGATTATTCTGTACAAGTTGAATCAGTACAGTAATACTAAAATATTTTCCTCTGCAGAGTAAACATTTCTCTAACAGAGGCTTGCCACAGTATTGAAGCTATGAGGAGGAAGGATGGATGGTGTCTGACAAAATTATTTGGAATGTTTTACTTATCCTTTGTAATCTGTTATTTCAACCTGGTTGTGGTGGTAGCAGCAGATGCTACTGCTGCTGGTGCTGCTAATACTTTTTGGAGGGTGGATGGCATGGGCAAGTTATTTTTTTTTAATTGGGGTGATATTGGTTAATAAAATTATATAGATTTCAAGTGTACAATTCTGTAATAAGTCATCTGTATATTGCATCGTATTTTTACCACCCAAAGTCAAATCACCTTTTGTCACCATGTATTTATTTGACCCCCATTACCTTTATATACCCCTCAGCCCCTATTTGCTCTGGTATCCACCATACTGTTTGTTATCTGTCTATGAGTGTTTGTCTTGTTCATTTGTTGCTTTCAGTTTTATATCTAACATATGGGTGAAATTGTATGGTTCTTGACTTTTTCTGACTTAATTTCACTTAGCATGATATTCTCAAGGTCCATCCATGTTGCAAATGGCAGTATATCATCTTTTCTTACAGCCAAGTAGTAGTCCATTGTATATTTGTACCACATTCTTTTTGTCCAGTCATGTATCAAAGGACAGTTCAACATCAGCTCACACCTGTTAGGATGGCTATTATGAACAAGGCAAGTAAGTAATAACAAGTGTTGGAGAGGTTGTGGAGAATAAAGAACCTTTATTCACTGCTGGTGGAAATGTAAACTGGTGCAGCCAGTGTGGAAAACAGTATGGAGGTTCCTCAAAAAATTAGGAGAGTTACCATATGACCCTTCAATCCATCTTCTGGGTATCTACCCCCAAAATTTAAAAACATTGATTTCCAAAGATATATGTACCCCTATGTTCATTGCAGCATTATTCACAGTAGCTAAGACATGGAAACGGCCCCCCCTTTTTTTTTTTAATATGGAAAAATTGACCTCTTGGGCTTCTGCAATTCTTTAGAATGGTATAGTAAGGTTTATTATGCAAAATTATTTCTAAAGCTACAGTGTTAGACATTTTGTCATCTAAGTTAATTTTTATAGGACTATTTTGTTGAGTGTTTATTATGTCAGTTTTAAGGTTTTGTTCTTAGGACTGTTCCCTTAATTTATTAATAGGTGTGCTGCCACCAGGTAGAGTAGGTTGCCATAATAACAGCTGCAAAATGAGGACCTTCGTTGATTCAAGATTATCTAACCTACATCCATTGCTCCAGAAGATACTGTGACTATAAATAAATAGCAGTTCGTAATTTGTGTTAAGCTATATATTAAAATATTTATATATATTTTAGCAAGTTTTAAGCTATTTTAAGTATAATTTTTTATAGAAAATTATTTTTGAGACAGGAATATCTCTTGTGTTTTAGTAGCTTATTCTTAATGTTAGTCTTTGGTTAGATAATACAAGAACATTACAAGCATTTATTGAATGCTTTTAAAGATTTTATTTTATTTTTAGACAGGGAAGGATGGGAGAAAGAGAGGAGGAGAAACAGCAGTGTGTGTTTGCCTCTGGCCCACGACCCAGGCATGTGCCCTGAGTGGAAATCAAACCGGTGACCCTTTGGTTCGCAGACTGGCACTCAATCTACTGAGCCACACCAGCCAGGGCTGAGTGCTTTTACTGTTTGCCAGATTTTATATCTCAGCAGTTTTTCATGACTAACCTTATTTAATCTTACAATAAGCCTGTGGGAAGACTTATTATTATGTTTTAAAACATGAGGAAGCATTGAGGAAATTCTCCATCATCTCTGTACTTTGGTATTACAAGTATAGTAGCTCTTTCTTTTTTTAGAGATTGTTTACTTGAGAATTGTCTAACCAGTACTTGCTACCCGCTTTTAAAAAATGCCTCATAAGCATAAAGTTGAAAGCAACAGTATATGTTTAAATGGGGCTTCACTTAAACAGGTCATATTTTAGGACATTGAATCAAAACCTGAAGAATTAATTAACCTCATTTACTGTGGGTATCAGTTGAGCCTGTGGCTGGACATTTATGGCACAATGATTTTATTGATTGTATGCTAACACATTCTTTTGTGTTTATGTGATTGTTTAGATATTACTGTTTCACAACACCAAATAATGTTTTGATTCCTTTTAATTTAGTTGAATTTACTTTTTCTAATGACTATGAAATGTTTAATTTTTTCATGGCCCATATTTAAGTTGCTTGATATATAAGAAAGTTCAGATGTTCACATTCAGTCCTAAATGTACTCCTAAATAACCCTGGGGCCTGGAGAATAAATGTTGCCTAATACTAGTTCCCAGAAGTTTGGCAGTTTGGGGTGTTTCATGCTTTCCAAAGCGCTTGGTGAAGAGTTAAAATTTCTTAAGTTTTATAATTTTTCTGCTTTTTAAGTGCTCATAAAAAGCACTTACATTTCAATTGCTCATAAAAATGGTCTACTTGATATTTTTATCAAGTAGACAAATGTTCAAATATGGACATTTCAAATGCTCAAAAATTGTCTACTTGATATTTTTATTTCCAACATTGTCACCTAATCTACCTCTTCAGAGAAAAATTTTATATATAAAAAGGTTTTAATGCTTAAAAGTTACTGTCAAAGGTGAAACCAAGAAAGGGGAGAAGAAAATGTTTACTGAGCACCAGTTATGCACCAGACACTATGCTTGGTACTTTTTTAGTACTATCTTAAATCCTTGACACTGCAGAGCTTGGGTTACCTCCATTTTTCAGTTGGAAAAACCGAGATTTAGATGAAAAGCAATATGATTGCAGTTCAGCTGGTAAGGTGTGGAAGCAAATTTTAAATCTAATTCTAACTACAGTTCTTCACACTACAGCTGCCTACTTCTTTCTCAACTAATTGATATCCTAGATTGCTGTCTGTTCAGCCTTGGCTCTTATCATCAGCTGGTTGTTACTAGATGCCCCTGTATGTGGTGCTTCCTAAACAAGCATGTAAAGAGTCAGAGTGATCATGGTGGGGCCCTTTTATGTAAACTTCAGGTCTGGGATACACTGATGTTCTCATGCTGTGGTGAAAGTACTTCAGGTTCTGCTGAGCTGGTATAGGGGAGCATTGATTGAATGGAATATTATCTAGTTACTTCATCAGTCAGAAGTATAATTTTGGGGCATCCTGGAAATAAAGTTGGGTAATGGGAGAGAGAACTTTAGGTAGAGTTGGAATTGACTTATTTGTATTCTCAAAATTCTTGAGCTTTTTTGGTCTTAACATCTAGCATATACACCACATCAGAGCATTATTTAGGTTTTTATTTTATAAATGGAAAACAGACAAAATGTTTCATTAAGCTAGAGTCTAATTTACTGAGGTGGTAAGAACATCTTAAATTCTAGAAGATTAGATTCTTTCAGCTATGTGGCCACTAGTGAGCAAAACTCTGTGAGATAGCTTATTGGGTACATTAGTCAACTAAACTATGTCTTCATACCTCATCCCCTGAATTATGGACATCTTAAAATTTATTGTTTCTAAGTTGGCCACCTTAGAAATTATTTGGTAATTTTTTACTTTGTCATATTTAAATCCTGGTTTTAAGAGTTTTACTTTTATCTAAGCAACTGCACTCAACTTGAACAGAACAACAGTAATGAAATGATAGGAGATGGGAAGGTAAAGCATAAAATGAGTTAATGTAAGTACTTCTTCAGAGATATCCTAAATACTTAGGTCTGAGAAGTTCACATTTTGCAAGCCAACTTATCTTTAAGTTTTTGAAAAAGTCGTGTTTCCTTGTTACAAAATAATCCACAGTGGGGCAGCAAGGAGCTAACTAGATGCATGACAAAGAGTCTGATAGATAAACGGTTTTGGATGCTAAGGAAGAACATATTTGAGAGAATCCAAAACATCCATGTATATTTTTTTGTATTCAAAATATATTTGTTCAAATAAGCCAGGTGAATTGGAGCTCCTCTACCCTTTGTAATATGGAATCTTAGGATATCTTTTTTATCAGTCTATTTTGAGATTTATGGTTCATAATTTGACCTGCACTAAAATTAAAGAAATTTGCTTATAAAGGACATGTATTTAAACTGGCCTCCAAAGAATACTATTCACTTGAGAGCATTAACAACTTTTTTTTCTGTGTTTGAATTGGCATTTATTTAACTTGCTTTTTTTTCTCCCCCAAACAATGGCATTATCTTTGACTTTCAGGGAAAGACGTAGGAGGAGGAGCAGGAGTTCTTCCAGATCCCCAAGAACATCAAAAACGATAAAAAGGAAGTCTTCTAGGTCTCCATCTCCTAGGAGGTAGGTTGAAAGCATATGCTAAAACCGTGGAGGGAGTTGGGAGGGTAATTTTTCTTCAGTCTTTATAGTTCTGAATGAATAATAGAATACATTTACATGGTTCAGAGATAAAAAATATAAGAAGTTATGCACGGGTAGATCTAAATTTCCACCCACGTGCCCATCTACTCTGTCCTCATAAGTGATGACTTTTAAGTTTTTTGTATATCCTTCTAGTTTCATTCATTTACACACACACACACACACACATATACAAGGTAAGAATATTTAGTTTTTATTACAAAACAGACACACTATTGTACACTTGCTTTTGTCACTTAACTATCACATCTTTCCATATTTGTCAGAGTGTGCTGCTTCATTTAATTTCACAACTGCATGTACTTTCATTGTATGATAGTACCTTAGTTTAGCCAGCCTGCAGTAGAATGGTTTTTCTTAGTTTTTATGTTATAAAATGTACAATACTGTAACGAAGAGCTTTGGACTTATCTCATTTTGTACTATGTAAATATGTAGGAAAATTCTCTAGAAATGTTAATGTTGAGTCAGAAGATTGTGTTTGTAATGTTGAGAGCTATTTCTATAGTGCCCCCGTAAGGATTGGCAGTCTCTTGTACTTTAACCAACTGTGTATGAGAGTGCCTATTTCCCTACAACTATAACAGGTTATAGGATCAAAAGTCGTGGTTTTTTGCACACTTGATAGATAAGAAATGGTACCAACATACAGTAATTTTAAATTTAGTTGCATTTCTCTTAAAAGTGAAGGTGGGCATCTCTATGTATATATGAAGGCCATTTGTATTTCCTTTTCTGTGTATTGTTTGTATACTTTGCCAGTTTTCCTACAAAATCTGTTTTCTGTTATTTTCAAGAGCTCTTTTTGTATTGGGGAGATTATTTTTTAGTGGTTTGATTAAAAGTATCATTCCTACTTGTCGACTTATCTTTTCTAAGTTACTGTTTCTAAGTTTACCACCCTTAAAATGAAGTAATACAGAATTTGCATATTTGCTAATATGTTAAGCAAAATAGTTTTAAATAATAATCTATTTAGTAACTATTTTGTAATTTGTCATATTTAAATACCAGGTTTTAAATACTAATTTAAAAAATTTTAAATATAATTTAATTTTTCAAGTATTTTTTTCTGTATGATTTCTTGATTTTGTCATAAGTTTAGAAAAGTCTTTTCCTAATTTCAAGGTTACAATAGAATTCCATTTTTTCTTCTACTTTTATGTTTTTACATTTCTATTTTTGATCTATTACTTTAGCCATATGTACCATATGGCATATGAGTCCAATTTTATTTTATTTTTCCAAATGCCTCTCTGGAGCTCTAATACCATTTATCAAAAACTCAATTTTTCTAACATTAGTTTGATATGTTGCTTTTGTCATGTACTAAATTTTTCTATTTGGGCCTATTCCTGGATCTTCAGTGCCAGCTATTTTCAACCTTTTTCATCTCATGACACACATAAAGTAATTACTGAAATTCTGCAGCATGCCAAAAAAAAATACATATTTTTTGCTTATCTGACAAAAATAGGTATAATTTTGATTTCACTCACACCAGTTGGCTATTGTTACGTTGGCTGTTGTTTTTATTTTATTTGACAATCTAAGAGAAAGAGGTCAGTACCCCTGACTAAATAGTCAGGTATTACATGTTTTAAAAATTCACATATCACATAAATGTTTTATTTATCCATTTATTAGTTGATGGATATTCTTTTTTTTGGATATTACGAAAAAATGCTGCTTTAAATATTTATGTGTATGTTTTTGTGTGGACACGTTTTCATTTTGGGGGGTTTACTGGGAGTGGTAATTGCAGAGTCATAACAACTTTATCTTTTTGAGAAATTGCCAAATTGTTTTCCAAAGTAGCTGTGCCACTTGACATTCCCATCAGCCACGTACATCGGTTCTACTGTGTCTCTACCTGTTCACTAACACTTGTTCCTTTTGTTTGCCTCTGATTATAGCCATTCTAGTGAGTGTGGAGTGGTATGTCATTGTTATTTTGATGTGCATTTCTCTTATGATTAGTAATGTTGACCATTTTTTTCATGTGCTTATTGACCATTTGTATGTATTCTTTGAAGAAATGTATACGTTTTTGTACATTTTGAATTGGGTTATTCGGTTTTTGTTGTTAAGTTGTAAGAGTTCTTTATATTCTGGATATTGATTTTTTACTGGATACATGATTTAAAAATGTTTTCTCCGATTCTGTGGGTTGGTTGTCTTTTCAGTTATTTGATAGTATCTTGATGCACAAAGTTTTATAATTTTGATGGAGTCAAATTTATTTTTCCCTTTTGCTTCTTGTCCTTTTAGTGTCATATCCAAGAAATCATTGCTAAATCCAATGCCATGAAGATTTTTCCCTATGTTTTCTTGTGAGGTTTTTTTAGTTTTAGTTTATATGTTTAGTTCTTTGATCCATTTTGAGTTAATTTTTATATGTGATATAAAGTAAAGGTTCAATTTCAACTTGCATATGACTATACAGTTTTCCCAGAACAATTGGTTGAAAGGGTTGTCCTTTCCCTATGAATGGGTCTTGGCATCCTTGTAAAAAAAAATTATTTGACCATAGATGAGTTCACTTCTGGGCTTTCTTTTCTATTCCGTTCATCTATATATCTGGTGCTTAATGCCAGCTTTGTCCTTCTTAAGATTATTTTGGCTATTTGATGTCCCTCAAAATTCCGTGAGTTTTAGGATGGGTTTTTCTGTTTCTGCTGAAACTGAATCTTTAGGTCACTTTGAATACTGTTGTCATCTTTACATTATTTAAGTCTTCCTCATGAACACAGATTTCTTTACATCTATTTGTCTTTATTGCTCGCAGGAAATTTTTTGCCACCTTGGTTAAATTTATTTCTAAGAATTTTTGTGTTTGATGCATTTGTTCCCTTGACTTTTAAGAGTTATATATAAAGATACACATACACACATATATGTTACAAATACATATTTTTTGGTTTGTCATTTTTCTTCCAAATATATTAATGGTTGTTTTTTGCTTTGCAAAAGTTTATATAGATAATCTTTACTTTTATGGACCTAAAATCTTAGTTATGGTTAAAAAAATCTTTCCTTCAGCTACATTAAAGAAATTCACCCGTATTTTTGTCTAGTAGTATGTTGTTTTACTTAAAATATTTCGGCCTCTATCCCATTTGGATTATTTATTTATGTGGAATGAAATATGGATCCAGTTTTATCACTTACCAAATAATAATCCAGTTGTCTCCAAACCTTTTTATTTATAAAAGACCATCTTTTGTCCCGCGTTTTGAGATGCCATTTTTGTTTTACTAACTCTTCATATATACTTGGATTTGTTTCCTGAGTGTCTGTATTTGTTTCAGTGGTCTTTGTGTTTATTTTTAAACTGTTCATAATGAGGAGAAGAAAGTTTAGAATTCCATATCAGGGCTGTTTTGAGTAGAAGCTATTTGTTATGCTTCTTATGTGAAATGTATTATTTTTTTCCCTTTAATTTTAAGGGTACCTTTTTCTTTAAATAGATGAAACTTTTCATTCCATCTTCTGCTTAACTTTTGCTCTTGCATTCGTGGGACTTCTTTGTAATGGTGCATGATGGGGACACGGCACAGTGAGTTACTGGAAGTTCCAGTTTTGCTAGTAGTCCTGCCTGGGAGCCATATCTGTTTCTTTCCTCTTTTCAGTCTATTCATCTTTTGCTGTGGAAATGTGGGTTAAAAATGTAGATATTTGTTTTTATTTTATCCTAACTATAGCAGATAACTCTTGAATGTTTAAGAACTAATAAATTGACAATAACAAGTTGTGTTTTATATGAACACAGGTAGGCTCTACTAAAACGACTTGTATATCTTTAAAACGTTACAGTGTGGGTAGAGTAGGTGAGGTTATAGGTCTCATTGATGTTACTTGGTCAAACTGAGTTACTGGTAGGCTTATATACAATGCTTTAGTGTTAGATAAGAATATTTTGTCATTAATATAGCCGGTCTTTAATTTCTTACAAATTAACCGACACTATCAATGTTCTTATAGCAGAAATAAGAAAGATAAAAAGAGAGAAAAAGAAAGGGACCATATCAGTGAAAGAAGAGAGAGAGAACGTTCAACCTCTACAAGAAAGAATTCTAATGACAGAGATGGGAAGGAAAAGTTGGAGAAGAACAATACTTCACTTAAAGTAAGCGATGGTCATTCAGTGTTCAGCAATGGTCGTTCAGGCTTTGAATAATTAATAATTGAGATTGTTCTTTGTTGCATAGAAGTAGTTTTAGGCTAAAAACTCCTTGAGGGCAATTGTGTCTTACATCTTTTTTTTTTTAACATTTTCTCATATTATTATATTGACAGTTTTTTTTTTTAAACCAAATGTTGAGGGGATGAGATAAAGTTAATTGAAATTTAAACTAATCACATTTCTTATTTTAGAGAATCATAGAATGGCATACAATAAGAAAAAGTTTAGACTATCTACATGTAACAGATATGTTTGATTTTTTACTGATTTCTACCTGACGCCATTTTCCTCAATATATTTGTTTCAGCAAGTTTGACAGTTCTGTCATTATTAATTTTGTAATATATGCTGAAATTAGGTTTGTTGAATTAGAATAATTAATGGCAAATCAAATTCCACAAAAAGGGTTTTTGAATGAGTATTCTAAGAGCTTATGAAATATGTTAATTCCTTTGTTTTACTGGTATAATCTGTATTTGAAAATCAATTTTGAGTTCTGGAGCTTTCATCTTAACAGTTTTATTTGCTCTCATTCTGGTAATAGTCTCTCCTGGCATCCTTGGGATTGGGGACTGTTCTGCTCTTTCAGCAGGCCTGTCACACTTTTTGAAGTCAGAGATCATGTATCAAACACTTCCTTTTAGACTTTCTGTTGATCTATTTTTATTTTAATTTCCATGGATTGTCTTTTAGGAGAAGTACAAAAGACATTGATATATGTTTGCATATCCTATTTATATGAAGAGGTAATGGGAGAAAATACCCTGATTTATTAATTCACAAAACATAAAATCACATATTTTAGCCATAAGCAGAGGTAGTAGCAGGCAGCTCTTGGGAAAAATACTAAATGTTTATCTTAATATTCATTGTAGGAGAAGGAGCACAATAAAGAGCCAGAATCAAGTGTGAGCAAAGAAGCAGATGACAAGGATGCACCTAGGACTGAGGAAAACAAAGTACAGCAGAATGGGAATTGTCAGCCAAATGAAGAAAACCTCTCTACCAAAACAGAAGCGGTATAGGACCAACAAATGCACCTCTAAACACATGCTGGAATAAAATCCAAAGCTTTTAATTCTCTTAACAAGATGTTAAACAGTGAAGAGATCCAGTTGAGTATAAAGATATGAGCTAACAGCTGTTCTAGTTGTTAGGTGACCTTGTGGCCATCTTGTTACTGAGTAAGAAAATAAAGCATGGACATCATGAAAATAACAGATGTTACCCAAACCTCATCTTGTAAAATCTGTGCATTTCCATGGTGGCTGACACACTTGTCATGTGGTTTGTTAGTGTTTGCCAAGAACCATTACAAGTAAATGGGACATTCAAGATCCAAATTTGTACTATCCGTAAAGACTGGAGACAAGCATTGGAGGCTCTTTTAAAAAGTTCTAGTTACTGAATTTTGTATTGTTTTACCTTTTTTTTTTTTAAATTTCAATATATACAAATTGATGATGTGCTTGAAATCGGTGCAAATATTTACCCACCCTTGTAAGTGCAAATATGTAAGAAGTTTTAACACTTCACAGGATTTATAGTGATTGTGTTAAATTCTCACTATTGTGTTTTCTTTTTGTCACTGTTTAGGACAGCAGTTTTTCTTTAAAATAGTTTTACAGATTAAAATTACTTAAATAAGTGGATTAAAAAACAACCTTCAATGCATGCTACTACTGTTCTCTTTCCAAAGGAAGAATGACTGTGTTGAATACTAATAATAATGTATTAGTATTCGGTGTTTAGAATCATTGGATTTCCCCACAAAGTAAGCACTTCTTTTTTAACTTTCTTGACATTTCCAAGCTTATTATAAATAATATTGCAGTGTGTGTTGTCAGCGGTAGGTGGCAAAGGTGTCATTATAAAAAGAAAACTTGGGTTTTCAAAATGGGCTATGGGAGCACAAGCTGAAGCTTTAGTGCCTTCTACAATGTGGTATACTGTTTTCTAGAATTTTATATGTGCTAGTCATTCTCAAGTCATATGGAATTTAGATGGATATTCCATTCACTCCCATAGAGAAGTGTGTAAGTGATACGTCAGAAGAGCTTATTATTTAGTTCACCTAACATGAGAGGGAAGTCTTGTTTTCAAGAATGACTTCAGAGCTTTTAAAACAACAGTGCAGTTTTGGGACCATCAGTTTTATACTGTGATAATTAAAAATGAAGCATGTTCTTAATTTACTTAAAGCAAACCCTTTAGTTGTCTACATGGATGGCCTTAATTATTACCTCTCAATCATCTTCTCATAAGTGGTGTACAGAAAAAGTACTTAAAGGAGAACACATGAGGTGGTTTTATATTTAAGGATATGTTTACTTGGTTTAAAATACAGGTCATCCATCATTCTTAGGTTCTCTTTTTGAAGAAAGTATGCAAGTAGTGAAATTATAACATCGTTAATATTTTTCCCCAATACCATAACTCATGGTTTCAAAACTTTTCATTATTGTTTATATGTCCAAAAAAGTTATACCTTTTAATTAGCGTGTTATTGAAAAACCAAGTGTAATTATTTTAATACAATCTAATACAATCAAATTACTCAGTTGCCTTACCTCATCTTATAGATTTAAAAAGCTGGGTAGCACATCAGTTACTTGGTTTCAACATGAGTTTTATTTAATGTTAATACTATTGAAACTTAAGTATTTGGTGGAGAATGGAAAGAATTGCCCTTATTGCAAATAATGAAGCCTGATTTGATTATGAAGCTGCTTAATTACTCTTCATGTGTCCAGAATTACTGTGGTATTTTTTCCTTTTTGTCACTGTGTACATTAAAATTTTTGAAAATGCTTTACTATGTAAAGTATAGATGGTCATTTTAATCATTCAACCACATACGGTTGGCTGGTAAACAGCTTATTCTGATACAAGAATGCTTGGTGAATATGGAAAGATCGTGAAGGAGTACTTAATGTCTAGCATCAACAGTTGTCTTATTTATGATATGTAAGTAGATTAGAGCAAATGTTTGAATCTTTGTTATTTTTAGTACCATTTCTCTAATAAAGCTAAGTATTTTAGAGGAAAGTATTTGTTCATGCATTTCAAAACAGCATCTTAGTTTTATCCTGTTCTTTTTTTAGTTTCTATAGAAATTGTTTTGACATGGAGTGCATGTTTGTGTGGTGTCTATAAAACAGTCATTTAAAGTTTGAGGTGTTTTCTATTAAATGTTTTTATGTTGTAATTAACCTATTTAATTTGGGTCCTGCTGCTAATTATTTTTCTTGCTGATATTTAATCAGCTTTAAAATAATGAAAGATGGTGATTTGTAAAAGGTGGGCATAAGTAGGAATACAAGAGATCTGGAAAAAGTGAAATCATTTTCTTCATTTAGGGCTTATGGAAGCAAAGCGTTCTAGGGCCTATAGATACTGGGTGGGGGCGTGGGGGGTGAGAGAGACAGAGATAGACATTCTCTTCACTTACGAGAGCTAATATGTTTCCATTTGTTTGTTATTTTCTTTCAAGGTATTTTGTTTTTCTTTAAAATTATTCTTGTTCATCCCACGTGTAGATGTTGTCAGAAAAACTTGAGATAAGGCCAAGAAGACAGCCATTTTATACTTGAAGCCTTCTGTAAATTACCTTTTTTAGCTTGACCATAGAGAGAATATACTCTGTTCCTTAAATTGTAATTGCTCTTCATCATTCTAGACAAACTCTGTTGGCTCTCTGGTTCCTGCTTTTCAGCAGTGCACACTGAAATGATAATATAAAATGGCCCTTCATAAGGTAGCCAGTTTCATGTGAGAAAATAAGTATAAACTTTAACTTCTGCAGCCATCTCCTTAGTCATTATTTTCCATCTGTTACAATCGCAGATACTAGTCAGCTTGTGATTCTCTGTTTAGAATTCTGTTTTTCAAGAGGTTTACTGTATGCCATGTTTATCTTCAGAAGTGTCAGTGGCTTAAATTTTGACATGCTTAATTAAAAAAAAAACCCTGATATTTAGAATCAATATTTTGTCAAGAAAATAATATCTTGTGATATTAGTCATTCAAGACCCCCATTCATTTCTATATATGTTGCTATATCATTATCTTAAAACTTAAAAAAAATTTGATCCAAATTTTTCAACAAGATAATATTCAAATTTAAGGATTACAATACACATATAGTAATAGGTGTTTCAAACTTTCAAAATATTAGAAATAATATGGTTTGACTTAAATCTTTAGTAGTCGAATTAGCAATTAAAGTGAATTCTTTTGGAGGGATACATTGAATAACTCAACATTTCAATTAGTCCTTATATTCTTTATAAGATACTATGAATTTAATTGGGCAGATGATGAAGTAGAGCCATTTCAACAAAGCATGTTCCTTATGTGTTTGAATATTTAAAAGAAATTTTGCTACTTCTACACTTAATATTTTGTTTATTAATGTAATATTTAAATTTATTTTCAAATTTCAAAAGTTAGTGCTCTTAAAGGCTAAATTATATTTCTGAGCGCAAGACTACAGTATAAATGTAATAAATTAATCTTTTAAAAATAAAATTGACTTCCCTCCTTAATCTTGGGTTTGTGGATGAATTTGTTTTCCTTAGTACATTTTTATTGATGATTCTGCCTAAAGACTCATACATTATTTCAAAAATAAAAGCTAAAGCTATTAATGACTTTGTTTCATGTTCTATTAGGTTGGATTTAATAATTAGATTTTTCAATTTTATTTTAAAATACTTTTATAGTTTCTAGCAATTAATTTATTGTAATTATTAGTCTATATTTAATGTAACATTCCTTAATACATTGTTTTTAAAAGCAGGTTTGTAGTCTGTTGCCTGATTTTTAAATTTACTTGTATTTAACATTTTAATTTTGAAAATTGCCAACTTCTGGGAAGCTTAACGTTATTTTTCCAGGATTGGAATGAATAGTTCCCTTCATTCTTGATTAACATTTATTTGCTAGATAAATAATTTTTTAACCATATTAAGTTCAAATTTGTGGAACTCATACTGAAAGAATTAGAGTTGAGATTGAGTTCTACTAGTTTAAGGTTACGGGTAGGCAGAAAACTGTTGGGGAACAACCTAAAGAATTTCCCAATTTCCACAGCAGATTACATTTTGGTATACTGTGTATTTGTATAGGTAGTTCAGTTTAATGTTAAATATTACTGTCCTTAATCTTAATTAGGTTAATACAATAGTGTTCTTTACATAATACTATGGATTATCAAGGGAAAAGTTTAAAACGTAAACATGAAGATGCTGCATAGGTGGTGTGTGTTGTGAGTAGGACTACTAAATGGTACTAGTAAAGATTTATCAAATGATGCTGCTATTGTGTTAATATATTTTTAATAAAATGAAAATCTTAAAACCTTGCCAGTCTTGACTAGTAATTTCACTTATTTCAAAGACATTTATTTGTATATTTACAGCTTTTTAAAAAAATTTGTTTTTGAATGGGGAAGAGAGGGAGAGAAACACTGACATGAGACAAACATTGATCGATTGCCTCTTGTATGCGCCCTGGCCCGGGACTGAACCCTGAATCCCGAACCTAGGCATGTGCCCTGACTGGGAATCGAACTGGCAATCATTTGCTCTGTTGGGATGACGCCCATCCAACTGAGCCACATGGGTCAGGACCAGCTTGTTTTTCTAACAAAGAAAGTAACAGGTTGTTCCCGGATTTCAAAATTACTACCAAATACAGATACTGAACATTGGGCAGTCCTCATGTTCTGTAGTCATAACTTTAGTCAAAGGCTTTTTCATTTGAACATTTTGTAGTATTCTAGTGATAGTTGATTTTTGGAATCTCCCTTTTGTTTTCAGAATCAGCTTCTTACTAGGGTATTTATACACTGAAAATTTGTCACTACTTTTAACAGCAAGTGGAATGCCTTCTAATTTTCAGAACTATAGCTCTTCATTTGGTGAATAAATGGTGTGTGTTAGGGTGGTCATTTAAGTGAGAGAGCCTATTAGCCTAGTCAAAGGGCCTCTTAAAAAATACATTAGCTATCAGATATGTAAATTTGAATTCTTTATGACCTGATGGCTTAGTTGATCCTGACATGATGGGGCTATACATGAATGTGTGGGGATGAGAGGAGAGATCTTTAAAGTGTACCCCTTATCAGCAGTGAGTGTGCGTGACCTCCACAGGACTTCTTAGAGGAATGCCAGGTTGGAGTAGAAACCATGACGACAGACTTCCAAACAAAATGGCTATGTTGTATTTTTGTTAGGAATGATTACTAAATAGTAATTACATGAGCATAGTTATAGTACATTTTGTTCTTGTAATTATTTTCTTTAAAAATTTTTTTTCTTGAGAAACATCAATTTGTTTTCTATTATTTATGTATTCATTGATTGATTCTTGCATGTGCCCTGACCAAGGATTGAACCTGCAACCCTGGCATATCAAAAGACAACACTCCAAACAACTGAGCTAGCTGGCCAGGGCTTACTATCATTTTCTTAGGAAAAACATTTTAAGATTCACCGAAAATAGTAGTTTTTTTCCCCCAATATAAACAGTATAGTACTCTTTAATATAATAACCATAGTGTGATAATCAGAGGTGGTAAATGGAATCAGTTACATAGGCATGACCTCTAGTACTGTATTTCCCTTCCCAGAGCTGCAGTTTTAAATTTCCAACCACCTTCTCATTAGTGTAGCAACTGACACAAAGCTATTATAATACTGGGTATTTTAATGGATAGCACTGTACATTGAACCTGCCCCAAACAAAACATTTAATTTCCAGTTTCATGTCTATACCTCTGCTATTCATTATTTTTCACCAGCGTTGTCATCTTTCTAGTTCTGCATCGCCACTATTAATTTCTGTCTTGATCCTTACCCTCAATCCCATTTGCTAAGCCTTCCTAGTTCTGCGTTTCCTCTGTAATATTATAGATGCACCCTTGTATCTATCACTCATGATTCTGTTACATGAAACAGTCTGCTCTAGCAGAAAGGAGATTATGGTGTTAGCATTAAGTTCTCGTTGTAGTTTTTCTGTAGCCTACTTACTTGTCTTCCAATGTCAGGAATTTCTCCAGATTCATTTCAACATAGTGGATTGGCCAAAAAGTTGGTTGGTTTTATCTTTAAGATGGCGCTAGTGGTGCTTAGTTGTCTTTACCTTCGCTCAAAACAATTTTGTTAGATTCTATTATGACAGCTGTCATGTCATCGTGTGTTTTATTATTTTAAAATATTTTTATTGATTATGCTATTACAGTTGTCCCATTCCCCCCCTTTATTCCCCTCTGCCCTGTACCCCGCACCCTGCATCCCCCACCCCTTAGTTCATGTCCATGGGTCATACATACAAGTTCTTTGGCTTCTACATTTCCTATACTATTCTTAGCCTTCCCCTGTCTATTTTTTACCTACTACTTATGCTTCTTATTCCCTGTACATTTTCCCCCATTCTCCCCACTTCCCCTCCCCTGATAACCCTCCATGTGGTCTCCATTTCTGTGATTCTGTTCCTGTTCTAGTTGTTTGCTTAGGTTTTTTGTTTTGTTTTGTTTTGTTTTTTAGGTTCAGCTCTTGATAGTTGTGAGTTTGTTGTCATTTTACTGTTCATAGTTTTTTAAATCTTTTTCTTATATAAGTCCCTTTAATATTTCATATAAGGGCTTGGTGAACTTTAACTTGACCTTAACTGCGAAGCACTTTATTTGCCCTTCCATTCTACATGATAGCTTTGCTGGATAGAGCAATCTTGGATGTAGGTCCTTGCCTTTCATGAAATGAAATACTTCTATTCCAAGTATTCCTTGGAATACTTCTTTCCAGCCCCTTCTTGCTTACATGGTTATCTTTTGAGAAGTTAGCTGATAGTCTAATGGGAACTCCTTTTCTCTTGCTGCTTTTCAGATTCTCTCCTTTAATCTTGGGTGATGTAATTATGATGTGCCTTGGCGTGTGCTTCCTTGGGTGGTACTTTGGGACTCTGAGCTTCCTGGACTTCCTGGAAGTCTATTTCCTTTGTCAGATTGGGGAAATTCTCTTATTTTTTTCAAATAAGTTTTCCAT